GAAGGGTCTGCATTCAAGAAAAATGACTCGAGATTTTCAGCTAAGCTTAGGCCTTCTTTTAATTTTTTTAATGTTAAATTATTAACTCAGTTTAATGTTAAATTATATCTCAGTGGCAACATTGTATCTTTAAGACGGCAAGCCTCGCCGCGGCTGTAGAAGTACAGAACTTTACAAAGGTTTTTGCAATTTTCTTATCGCGTTAGAGCGAAACCGTGTTATAGGATGACGTGTTGTAGGAGGGTTCGCGCAATTTACGAATCGTGTTATAGCGAAACCGTGTTATAAGATGCCGTGTTGAAGGAAGGCTACCTGTATATGATTTCTCCGATTCCAGCGGATGAAAATCGATGAAAAAATTCAGAAATCTGCTACTACATGAATAGTGTACGTGCGAATATTTCCAAATCCATCCATCGATTATTCATATTGAAAAGGAATTCATGAAGTTCAGAAATTATCAAACATTGCCAAACCCGAGATACATTAAATCATTCACCAAATCAGAGATCAATTCATAAATTATATCGTACATCAGATCATTCATTAAAACACGGATTACCATTATTATAAATAAATTGTCGACTATATTACGACATAAGAAGAATGTGAGACGGAATCGTAGGTAGTAGTAATGCCTGAAGTAATTATTTAATAGAGATTACCAGCGCTAGCGAGAGGGACCTGGGCTCTGTGCCGTCGTCTCTGAGAACGGCCCGAAGGTGCGCGATGTAGGTCGCGGCCAGCCTGAGGGTGTCGAGCTTGGACAGCTTCGTATCAGCAGGCACCCATGGCAGGGTCGTCTTCAATCTGGAGAACGCTCGGCTGAGAACTCGCATCCTGGCCCTTTCTCTCGCGTTCGCCGCGTTCCTGGGAGCCCTGCTGTCGTCCCTCTTTTCTTCTGAGCAGCAGGAGAGGTCGTCTTCCGAACACTCAGGAGTCGCCGCTCGTCGTTTACGCGGCATTGTATATTAATTTCTACGAAGTTAATTCAACTTCGAATATGAGCCTCGATTTATGATTCACCTCGCCGGTTCCAGCGGATGGAAATCGATTCAATAATTCAGAGACGTACTAGTATACTAGAAGACCGCGGCAGAATTTTGTCAACTTGTCCGTTCGTCGATTATCATTGGAAAAAATTCGTCGACTATTCAAATTCTGAGATGATCAATTTTAATCACTGTTTATATTTGTATTATTTTTTGTTTCTATGATTCTAATGTATACGTTTTGAAATGAATCAGAGTCGCACTTCTACGTGAGCAGTACACTTTTTGAAATCTTTCCATCCGTAAATTGACTTTAGCGATTGATTAATTAAATGACGAAGAGCTCACCCCGAGTTGTCCGACAGTTCGAACGTTTTAATTCTAAATTCTAATTAAGCCGAGCGATCGATGGACGAATCGATTGTGGGATATGTTTGAGCAGAACGTTTGAATGTGAAGGCAGGGGCACTCGTGCGTAACTAATTGCCAGTGAAAATTGAAGGAGCGAACGACGCCAACGAGAAGTGGCGAGAGACGAGGGTGGGAAAACGAGATTGGACGAGAGTTCAGCCAAATTTTGAGCGTCTAAAATTTGGGCGGAGCCACCTTCTTCCAAATGTTTTAAGGACGTCCGCGGCATCGTCGGGGATTCAATTGTTACGCTGCTAGTAAATTAATAAAATAGTTTCTCGAGTACTAGCGATCAAAATCTGTCGGAGAAACGCGAAAATTTTCCCGCAGAAAATTTCCTGCAAAATAATATCGTATGAATTTGGACAGTAAAATTACTGACGAAGATAAACAGAGTTTGGAATTGTTTTTAATTGTTGAGAAGCTCGTCGATTTTGTTTTTCGACGATTTCTATCGAACTAGGGCGGAGCTTGATTCCAAGTAAAAGAAGAACACAAATAAGCATCTCTCTTTCTCTTTCTCCCCGTTTCCTACGGTTTCCCTCATCGAATGGTTCCTCCGTTTCCGCGTCATCTGCAGCCACCTGGTCCATCCTTTCTTCTTCCTCCGCCGCCCTCACGTGCCACGTGTCCACGAATAATCCTCTCCGTCGGCTATTAAATCTCCGAAATGTGTACACACGTACAACGTCCGTCCAAGTATTTACACGCTCCTATACACGCGTTCTCCTTCCTGGATATCCTCTCATCTTCCCTGGCACTGTCTCCGAAAATCGGATATCCAATCCATCCGCTTTCCAATGCATCGCAACTTCCATGTTTTTTTTTTTAATTTGAAGTACTTATTCACGGCGAGAGCCTGAAAGAATTTTAATTTACGATCAGTACGCTTGGCGGTGCAAGTGAGTATTCTTTCAAATTTTTCCATCGATTATTTAAATAAAAAAAAATTGATGAAATTCCCATACTTCGCAGAATTGCCAGAACTTCGAGGTACCTCAATATACATATAACGTATAATTTTCAATATTTTTAATATTCAATTTCTCCGGTTCCAGCGGATGAAAATTGATGAAAAAATTCATATATATAGTTATACAGTAGAAGTATAAGCAAGAATTTTTCAAAATCGATCGCTCGACTATTTACATCAAATTGAAATTCGTAAAAATTGGCAAATTTCTAAGAATCGCCAGAACCGAAAGGGTATAATTTCTCCGATTCCAGGGGATGGAATTTGACGAGAACATTCAGAGATACGGTTGCATAGAAGTAGTATTTTCAGAATTCCTTGCTCATTGGAATCGGAGAAGGAAAAAAGCTGTTGAATGGAAGAGAGATAAGGAGAAGAAGTAACTGATCTATTAATCCGGGGACGTACGTACTCTCGTAACGAATGAGAAATCGTTTCGTTGACAGGAGGATCGGGCACTGTAACAGGAGGACGCTTCCCACCCGGGGCGCTACAACCGCGGAACACGGTCGCATACATTTTTCCCGTTTAACATCGTACAAACGAGTTGACTAATTGCCCGGCGTTCTCTGAAACCGAGATGCATGTCTCTCCTTCTCTGAAACCATGAGAACGCGACACCCCGAATGCTCGACGTTTTTTAAAGCCAGGGATCAAACTGCAACATCAATGCTCCGAGCGTCAATTTGCAGTTTGTCAAATGGACAATAGTTTTTTATGATAATTACAGAGGAGCAAGATTTATAAAATCATTTGACCTGTCTTCGTTGATCATAAGGAATTTTTAACGCATAATTTCTAATATTATAATACATAGTTTTAGCATATTTTTATTGGGTATGTACATTACTTGCAACTGTCTACATGTCCTATAATTCTTATATTTGCATACTTTTCATTTTGCATATCTTAAGGATGTATTGGCTATACAGTCAATCCCAAAAGTTTATGTACCTTAGAAAAACGCATTTCCTATAATTAAAAAGAAATCAGACGTCGGAAGAATACTGATAATAATAAATAGCTACGTGCTAAAAAGTATAGAAGGAAATATCTAATTAATTATTGACGCTGACGAAAAATTTTTTTTTTCAAAATTGCGAAGAATGCTTCAAATAAAAGTTGTTTTCCTTCTAACTTCGATATTTAACGAGTATGATTATTTGGCATTTTATTGATGTTGACAAAATCCGACGAAACGGCGAACTTTTGGAAACAAATTTCGTTTTTTCTCAATAACTCCTAAACCGTTGGAGATACGGGAAAATTGCATACGACCTTTCTTGTAGAGGACAACGAGATCTACAATTTCTTTATAAAAGTTTTCCGCTAGCATCAATATTTAACGAGTTATTGACGAAAAACGAGAAAACAGTTTTTTGCAAATTACTCGTTAACTATTGACGCTAGCGAAAAATTTTTACATGGAAATTGTAGATCTCGTTGTCCTCTACAAG